GGTTTAGGGGTAGGGTTGGTGTAGGGCAATAGAATATACGGTCTGTACAGTATAAAAACCATTACGCCGATGGAGAGTCCCCACTTTTCACAAAAACAAACCTGTGTGCGTGTGCGCATGTGTGCGCGTGTGTGTGCGTGTGTGTGCGCTTGTGTGTGTGTGTGTGTGTGGTTTATATCGTCCGTCAGGGTTCAGGTAGGCGGATGTGAACGATAGACCGGTAAGTCAGTTTAAATCACCCATAATCCTCTGGGCTCAGCAGTGAATGATGCTCACTTCCTGTGTTCTGCAATGAGAGACAAACACATGAAGCTTTGATTCTCGTGTGTGTGTGTGTGTGTAACGATGTGAAGCTGGCTGAGATCAGTGAAGTCAGAGTCACAGCAGAACTGATTGTGTCTGTTTTAGTGACAGACCTGGTTTTATGGTAACTTACAGTTTATAGTATGTAGACAGCAGCTTTAATTATCTTGTTCCACTAATTTCAGTGAAAAATAACATAGAAAAGAGAGACGCTTTCATGACTGTTTCACAATTTACTTTTAAAAAAGTGCACTTTATAATAATGTCATATTACAAATTCATTGTAAAGTACATTTTAAGTTGTTGTTTTAATTATCTTTTGTCATGTTTTAAAGAAGAACACTGTTGACTAACATACTAAAGCACATGTAAAGCACTTGATTATCATTTGAATTTGTTATTCAATATTACATTTACATTTACATTTAATCATTTAGCAGACGCTTTTATCCAAAGCGACTTACAAATGAGGACAATAGAAGCAGTCAAAACTAACAAAAGAGCAACCATATGTAAATGCAAATGACAAGTCTCGGTTAGCCTAACGCAGTACACGTAGCAAGGTATTTTATATATATATACAGTGGGTACGGAAAGTATTCAGACCCCCTTAAATTTTTCACTCTTTGTTATATTACAGCCATTTGCTAAAATCATTTAAGTAAATTTTTTTTCCTCATTAATGTACACACAGCACCCCATATTGACAGAAAAACACAGAATTGTTGACATTTTTGCAGATTTATTAAAAAAGAAAAACTGAAATATCACATGGTCCTAAGTATTCAGACCCTTTGCTGTGACACTCATATATTTAACTCAGGTGCTGTCCATTTCTTCTGATAATCCTTGAGATGGTTCTACACCTTCATTTGAGTCCAGCTGTGTTTGAATATACTGATTGGACTTGATTAGGAAAACCACACACCTGTCTATATAAGACCTTACAGCTCACAGTGCATGTCAGAGCAAATGAGAATCATAAGGTCAAAGGAACTGCCTGAAGAGCTCAGAGACAGAATTGTGGCAAGGCACAGATCTGGCCAAGGCTACAAAAAAAATTCTGCTG